TATATATATAGTTTGACTAATTAGATCTTATTTAATTCAACATTCTTGTTTTATGTCCTCAACTTCTGTCTTGTGGCATGCAGGAGACCCTTAATTTTCGCAGCATTTGCAGTTAATTCATGTAATAAGTCTGCTAATCTGAATAATGTACTTCCTCTTTCAGAGATTTTAAACTAAATATTTCGTTATTTTTATCAAATATAGTCGTATTTCTTTTCCTTTTACATGTGTCGACTGGATAGCAAATTGCTCATCTTTTAATTAAATCATCTGAAAATTGCTTATCTTTGGATTCCTCGAATTATTTAAATTGAGACCTTCCCAATCAATAGGCATTGTTTTCTTTGTTTATCGCCTCAACATCTGCATGTACACTGGGGAACAGCAATATATACATATATCATTCATCATCAATCAGCTTATAAGCACCAATCATTCGGTAATCAGTTAGTCAATTGCTCTCTCAGTCAGTCTGTCAATGATTTATTGTCTTTTCGAGTCAATCGGTTAGTCAATGACGCTTTGACGCTCTCAATCAGGCGGTCAATCATTTATAGTTAATCAGTATTAGACATTTCATTACTCTATCATTCAATTAGTCAATTATTCATAAATAATCAATTAATCAGTATCAATCTATCATTCATTTATCAATCATTAGAAATAATTTTTTTAATCTCTCTGTTAAGCACTTTATCAATCACACTCAATCAGTAGCAATCAATCTCAGTCATTCAGTTAATCAATCATTCATAGCCAATCAGTAAATCATTCGGCCCACCATTCAGACTATCTGCTAATCAGTTCTGTCACTCAGACATATATGGATAGATTAGCTCTGCTCCCATTTATCAAGTATATATATACCTGTTATATACCTGAGACTTTATGCAACGCAAATGAAATGATTGCGTTACTTTTTCCAGAACAAAGCCGATTAGATTTGTGTTTCGATACTGGGGTATTGGGGCCTCCATAAAGTCCATGGCCAATATAAAAGCTAAGTATGTATTTATTCATAAAAATACCTATAGGTTTACAAAATATATTTTGTATTAAAGCGCGACAAATCTAGAACAAAGTGTGAATTAAAATTGTACTGGTGAATAATTTAAGATTTGATTTGATATCCTATAAAAAAATATTGGAACCAATCAATTAATCCATTGGTCTAGATGAAGCCTGTGATGCCATTCCGTATTTTAATCTCTCGTGCTATATAGCAGGCGAAGATGACGCCAAAGAACTGAAAGAAAACGAGAGAAGTTTAATACGAATAATATACATATAGATTGTATAGATATATATATTGAGTATAGTGAACTCACCTGTATGATGGCAATGACAACGCCAGCTGCACCCAAACTGACCGCATGATCGGCTATATACTTGGAAAATCCGCTCAAGCAGCCCAGCTTGTTGTTCATATTGGGATTGTTATTATCCACCAGGCAGCTAAAGGTGCCAATGGTGCCAGCCGGTATTTTGCAGCACGACAATGGCAATTGATTATCTTTGAAATGATCGGACCAATCGGTGGCATTGTTAATGCCACAGCAGTCGAAGTTGCGCTGGACAACGTCCCACAGTATTGTCACATCATTTACTGGCTTATTCGAGTAGCTACCCATTGATTGATTTAGACTGGTATCAATCAAATCGTATGCATCATTGCGCAGCACATAGCCACTAATGCCCGCCGCCAGTTCCAAAATGAAGATGATGAACAGCATTATCGAGAAGCTGAGAATCAGGCAATAGTTCTCCTTCAATGCACCCCAGCAGCCAAAGAACGTGATCACAATGATAAACGATCCGATCACTATCAAAAATGTTGGTATCGAAAAGAATTTGCCGACCAAAAAGTCCTCATAGTCATTGAAAACGGCGCCAACGCCAGCCCCAACAGCTATAAGTATAATGCCAGTGATCTGTCAGTGAAAGAAAATTTTTTGAATTAAATCATTCTTTTCATATACATATAAATATTGAACATTAATTTCAAATAATAAAACAAATGCAAAAAATGAAAACAATTTAATAAATGAACATAATAAAGTAAAAATATATATACACATACTTTTTTTTTTAAATAATTATGATTTTTAGCTTCAAAAAATCAACGATATATCAATATTTTTCTATTCTTTAATATTCAAATTGTATTATCTTACGTTTATTTATTAAATACTTAAAATTTATTTATGAAATTATTCAAATATTATTTTTTATTGAAGAAAAAGTTCAATTACATTGATTATTATACTCATTCACGAACATTGCGATAAATCGAACAAAATTTTATACTCTTTAAAGGTATTCATTCTTAATAATTCTCGATAATTTGAATTTCTGTGTAAATCGAAAAGGAATGGATCTTCTTGACATTTCGATTTATCGGGATTCTACTGTAGTTTAAGTGATAAGAAGGAGGTGTCGTGTTGCAAATTGGAAAAATTTTAGCGTAGTAGGGGTAACAATGCATCACGCAGTCGGCTACGCCCGATTTCAACGCTCTTAATGCAATTTAATTTTTTTTTTTCTTAATTTTAATTCATAAATAGGATGAAACCTATTAATATGCCAAGGGTTGACTCATAAATATTTCTAGCAGCCCACCAGAGTACAGACAATAGATAACATATGTTTCTTATCTTAATTACCAAAAATTTGTCAGTCTCTGAACTTATCGAACAAAATGTGAATATTATAAATATGTGAGTATATACGAGTATATATATTGGAAAGCGTAAAAATAATGTTACAATTAAAAAAAAAAAAAAAAAAAAAAAAAAAAAAAAAGAATAAAAAATATTAACTTTTTATAATTCCAACTAGAACAAGTTTTGCGGCCATATATATACAGTTGTATATAATATACGCTCCAGCACTGCCTATCTAATCTGTGATAACTGTATATATATATATTATATATTCGTAGATAGTTAAACTAATTCCCGTTGGACTGTGAACTAATGTAATTTCTATTGTAACTAACGATGAGTCAGAGTCATTATACCCTGAACCCATTGAAAATGGGAAATCAGGGTATAATGGTTTTGTG